AAAAAAAAAAAAATTTTCAGTTGATTATATTTATTGCATACATAAAAACCAAAAAAAAAAGAATAAATTTTTTATAAAAGTTAAAATTTTCATAAATACATATGAGAAAAATTGTTTTTTCTACTTTACTTTTTTGGTTTCTGCTACCTTATCTTTTTTTTTTTCTTTGTTTATTTACAGTGACTATTTTAATTAAAAAAAACAAATTTTTTTTTCTCGATTATGCAAATTGCCATTTGTATATTGAATATTTTAGTTATTTGCATATAATAATTGTTTGCAATAAAACTGGACAAGTAAAAAACTATAGAAATTTCTAATACTTCTTTCCAAAAAATTTTCTTCTCAGTTTTTTTTACTTTCTTGTATGCTTAAACTATTTAACAGTGCTTTAAAATGCCTAATAAGCTGAAAAAACTTTTAGTCTGTATATAAATTTTTAGTGTAAATAAAATAGGGATATCTTTTTTCAGTAAATTATTGAGTTTTTTTCACTTCTTTTACCAACCTGTGAATTATGCAGCCATATATGGTACAGTTGAAGATAATTCCTATAAAAAAAAAGTGGTTAAAGTTAAAATAATAAAAAATCCTTCAGAATTTTTTCCTGAAATTTTACTAGAATTGTTCAAAAAAAAAAATTTGATTTTTATTGCTTTACTTTATTCTTTTTCCAAATTAATTTTTCTTTTCAGTTTTCAAATTGAAAAATTCTACAAAAATGCACGGTTTGTGCAGAGAAGAAATATGCAAACATTAGCGCAATTTTTTTTTTATTTTTTGTCAGTTTTAAAAAAAAAAAACAATAAAATTGCAAATTATACTGCAAAAAAAAAAAATTATTTTTTAATGCATAAAATATAACATACATTTTTCTCATTTTTTTTCGTTTATGTTTTTAAATTTTTTCAAATTGTAGTCTAAAATTGTTTACTGATCTGCAACAGTTTTGTTCAAGGCTCAATTTCAACAGAACAAACCTGGCTTCTTTGATCAATATAACTAATTTTTTTAAGTCTTTTTTTTTTTGTTTTTCAATCAAGTATCAACTTTTTTACTTAATCTTTTTGCTTCATTTTTTGTTTATCTTTTGTTTATTTGTATGTATACCTCTTCTTAACAGTTTTTGATAACTGATGATAATACCGATCAAACCGACATGGCTTCACAAAAATCGGTTCAGCGGATAAAGTTAAACTATCAAATTTTTTTTGTCAATAAATGCTGCTAATTTCAAAATAAAAGGCTGTAATTTTTTGTGCAACATTAAGAATAATTGAAAACACAAAGAAAATTGAATGTAAAATAACGCGCCAACTGTAATGCAAAAATAAATTTAAAAATTGTGCACAAACGGGCAATAGATTACGGTAGTCAAAAGAACAGACAAAGACTTTTATTCAGGTTAACTAATTTTCAAATTCAAAAAAAAAAAATTTTTTTTCTTACTTAACAGAACAGCAGTTAGAAATTTCTCCTATGTTAAAATAAAAGCTTGCTGTGATTATTAAGAAAAAATTATTAAGAAAAAAGAAATTTTTTTTTGTTAAAAATTTACTGAAAAATCATAAAAAGATTATAAATCATAAGTAAAATTAATCTAAGTTTCTTATACTTTTTTTTTTTTTTGACTAGCAACAAGTACATCAACAACTAAAGAAAAGTACTTATAATTCTTGAGAACTTATACGATTATTTCTTTCTGTTCTGTTTTTTGAACTGTTATCATCAAAACCAAAGAATTTTAATAATGTAATGCCGCGTAAAATGAAGTATTTTTCAAAAAAAAAAAAAA